TAGGCACAAGGAGGTCCAGCTGAGTAGCATCTGTGTCTTGGTACCCACCAGCCGTAGGCTACCTCTGTATGTCCAGGAAGAGAAGACATGCTCCCTGAATCTCTTCAAGAAATACCTACTTTGCTCAGTGTCCAAGCTATTCTTTAGAGCTACGTACAGAAAAATTTCTATGAACACTTGTGCCTCATGAAAAGATCACTGCAAGTAATACACATAAACGTCAACAGAGTGAAATACTTAACTGACAGAAAAAGCGAGTGCACAGGCCAGGACTAGAGATTTGGGGGAAATTTTCAGTTACTCACACCAGAGAGCTGAGGGCTGCTTGTCCTAGATGGTGCTGCTGCCAGGCGGACACCGGCCCCAGAGACAGCATCCCTGGGGAACTGAAGCCCTGCAGGGCTGACAGGTCTGCACTAGTCAGCGAGTAATCTGAAAAGAAAAATATTGTTCATGTGTCTCATGAATGCAAAATCTGGTTTTCTAATAGCAGCTTCGGGAGTTCCTAGGTTGAGGTAGGCTCAACAGTTCTCAAAATAATACACCAATGGTTCTAAAAATCACACACAAAAAAAACTTGGGGGGCTGTTTATACTACCTAGCTGTTTTAATTGTCTGGGTTTACTTTAATAAATTGCAGTTCTATACTGAATTATTAGTTTTTTTCACAAAAAAAGTTAAAATACTTGTCCTACACTTGTAAATACAAGTATCTTAAGGCCATCACTGAAGATTATGCCTATACAATTGTTATTTTAAATAAAATGCCCAGTACTACTCACAACAACTCACCCAGACTGAGCCTCGATCTGCAGTTTTGAATATTCTCAAATTACAGGGAGAGCTGTAGAGATACAGCACTCCCTTCCCAGGGGAGTCACAGCGTGAAGTAACTGCATTTGTTCAACTCTGACAGACCTTTGGCTGGTTGCACCCAAAATAATTTCAAGTTCATCAAAAACTTAGAAAGGTATATTTTACATCACAGGTTTCATTTTTTCTGAATGTCTTAATAACAATCATGCTGACCAACAAGACGTAGGACCTTCATTATGATCCAGAGTTATTCCAGTTCATCATCCACACTTTTCCATTTAGCTCACTCCACTGTCCAATCTGACATGACCCATGGACTCTTTTCCTCCAAACCTGATCCTCTTTAAATACTCCCTAGCTCATGCACCGGTGGTTACCTCATTACTCATAACAGAAACCTGTGGATGCTGTACTTCTTATTCCCACCACCACCACGTCTCATCAATCCTATCTACTGTCTGTCAAACCCACCCAAGTCTCACCACCTCTACTCCAGGCTGCACCATCAACACTGCAAGGACACTGCCATAATCTCTTCTGTGGTGTCCTCATATTCTCTTCTGCCCCTATGCACAATGCAGTCAAAGTGATTTTAAAACAACAGTTTATAAATCTCGCTTCCTAAATCCTTTTTATGGCTTCTGCACACTGGCCCCAAGAGAACGTCCAAAATGCTCAACATGGCATATAGATCTGTTGATCTCTCAAGTTTCATTCTGACACCTCCACCCCTGCACACTCCTCCAACACTTCCAACCAGCCACACTTCCGCTGTCTCACCTTTGAATTGTTCTCTGGAATACCCTCCCTTATTCTGCCTGGCTTAAAAAAACGAACACTCCTTCAGCTCCAAGTTTCAACGTAGCTCTTAACAAATGCCCCCAGAACTGTCTGCTGTCCTTCTCCCTTGACAGACCTACGTCACACTCTAACACGCACACATGCAGCATTTCCAGGGCTAGGCACAGCGCCTGCACACAGCGGTGTCCCATGGCAAACATCAGCTACACGGATGCATGAGAAAGTCTGTGGAGACTGGAGCGATGTCACTGATGTGTGTGAGTAAGTGTGGCACTCCTTCATACAGAAGTAGTTTACTTTTGAAAAATGTTGCTCCTGTATTGTCACACTCTAAACACACCAAAAAGTAGGTGGTACAATACATAGTTTTTAAAAAAATCGATAACTGAATTAAAGAGAACATGGTAGAAAAGGTGCTCTGAGAAAGACTAAAACAGTAATGAAACTAAAAGCTAAGTAATTGATGGTTAGAAAAATCTAACATCATTTTTATGTTTTGGTAATGCCTTCTGGACTAAGCCATCAATGCCAATGGCATTTTTAAAAACAAGTATATGGAGTTGGTAAGCAGACCAAAATCCTGTCCTGAAATGCCCAATAAACTCTAACCGCAACACCTATCAAGTCCCACCTTCTCAGCCAAGACTGCCCTGACATTCCAGCTACCACAGTTGCCTCTTCTCATCCCTTCTCAAGTCTCAAGAGTCACCTTGACTTAAAGGGCTTCCTCTTCCTACTGAGCAATGTGTATGTCCCTCCCATCAGAAGTAAACAGGAGAAAAGATCCGTCCTGTACAGTGTCGTTCACAGAGCGGCACCGGAGCGCGGAAACAATGTCTATGAAGGCACAGCCCTAGGTGCCACCCCAGGTTCCAAGTGAGGGCGCTGGGTATGTTTTACACTGACTGCGGGAAATGGAGTGGGCATTCCCTAAAAGACAAAACCGAAAAGTTGCTCCTGTTTTAAAAGAACTACTTAGATTTACAGCGGCAATCGAATGTACCGATGGCTGTTCACCCTCAGGAGTGGCACACAGCAGTTTGAAAACACCACCTGAATACCTCTGTTCTGGAGTCTACAATTACATGACCTTTACTACGTCCCCTTGGAGGAATCATGACCAGGTTCCCTGCATGACTGGCAAGGTATAACTGAACCACTTCCCTCTTCCTCGGAATCGGTAGTGCAACTGCTTCGGGTGAGCCACATGTGCTTCCTGTCACTCCCTGAGCAGCCAAGGACTCTGCACGCTGGGACTCCCCATGCGGCCCACCTGGCTAAACAGACCCTCCATCCCTGTGGCATAACTGAACTCCCCAACATAACCTGCCCACTCCCCATGGCATTTTAAAGTGAAGCAGCCAAAGAACGCAGAGCAGTGAGAACAAGTGGGACCTAGTTTTTCCCTCCAAGCACAAACAACAGAAACCAGACAGGCAGTAGCACAGACAGCGTGTCCGACCAGCACAGCTAAACAGCCTGCAGCCCAGAGTCCTGGGCACCACGGGAGTCAAGTCTTCCCCAGAGCAGGTTAACACAGCATAAAGGGAAACACACCTTACCACCAAGGCCTGCAGCGTGAGAACACAGCAACAGGGGCTACTCTCTGTGGGGCCACACAGGCCCTGATTCTGGCCTCGGCTCGTTGTTTCTTTGTCATGGGGAAGTAAAAGGTCTTGATGGAACCAACCTACCACCAAGGTATAGTTTGTGTATCTTTTCACAGTTAATGTTTTTTTTTAATATTATCTGAATGTGAATCTAAAACACTGGAAATTCAAGTATGTTATTTCAAATCATGACAGCACATGCTGATCACCAAAGAAAGAAAAGCTGAGCAGCAAGAGCAGACTGACCGGTGTTGTAGGCAGTCGGCATGGCCGAGTACACGAGCCCCTGGGGGGGCAGGCTCGGGGTGGTCACAGACACGACCGGGGTGGCGAGGGCTTGAGTGGCTTGAGAACTGCTTATCCTTTGGGTATTCTGGGAGGGCAGAGAAAAGAAAAACTGTTACCAATATGGATATTTATGTTCAGACTTCATATTTTTACAATAACATTTAATTTAAAGGTGACATCTTTCACAGTTTTATGATGTGAATATTATTTCTTAAAGCACTGATCATGTGAAAACCTTAAAAATACTAATGGGAATAATGAAATAATCTTTACAGGCCATATTTTACATCTATTATTCATTTTTACTACCTTTTCCATAAGGAGTTTACTGATGTCAGAGATGTGGCCTTACACAGAAACTTGGATTGTGAGCTTTAACACGTGTTAGCATGATGCCAGTACAAATAGTACCAGGCTACCCTAAGTAAAATTTGTGTAGGTTTTAGAAATCTAAGGATAGCAACGGTGATTTGTACCTATTGTGTTTACAAGTATATGAGTATAGGAATCGAAATCACTTATTTACAGCATGTACATGTAAACATGGTTTACGTCACTGCTAACTGAAGCAAAGCTTACATTAGCATTTCTAAACCTGCAGCTGATTCTGGCTTTCCTCTCTCATACATACATACATACATACACACACACACACACACACACACACACTCTCTCTCTCTCTCTCTCAGTTGCAGCATTTTGAAAGAACCATTTTTGGTTCACAGAAAAACTGAGGGAAGGTCCTGAGATTTCCCATACCTCCCCCTACCCATATCTGCACAGTATCAACAACATTCCCAGCAGCCTATTTCTTAACAGCAACTTCAGGCTCTGGCTTCTTAAAGGAGAGAATAAAGTATTCCTGAAGCTCTGTGAGTGGAGCGATACACATGGACTGACTACACCTGCATGGTTCTGGTCCACGTCAGGAATGGATTTTAAAAAAAATCAACTCAAGAATAATTGATCCAGTTTAAGAATCAATCAAGAGCCACTGACCTCTCTGTGTTTAGGGATAGGACAGGTCAGTTCCCCACCATGCTGGCACAAGGGAAAACCTCAAAACCAAGAATCAGAGGAGCAGCACTGCCTGTGCTCCACGTGGTTAGCACACAAGACGGCCCAGGTAGAACTCAGGCCTACCTTTCTCTAGGAAGTTTCAGCCTGATAACGGATGTTTGAGGGCCAAAGTCAAATCAGAGAAATAATTGAGTGCCCTTGAGATTACAGAGTCAGAATGTGGTTCATTTTCTCTATCAGCATTTTCAGAAAATAATCAGAGCAGTCTTTAGTGAGATCTAGACATCTGAAAAGTGATCATTTAATAGTCTGTATTCCTTGGCCAGTGTTAAAAAGACCACGTAGTATGCAGATGAGTAACTGGGGATTCTGTGCCAGATTTACCACTTTCGAAGGTCTGGAAAAGCTTATTAATGTCTCCCCAGTGTCTTTGTAAAGCTGGGAGGCGGTATCTTCTGTGAGCATCCAGTGAGTAACAGGCAAGAGAGGCTACGTGACAGCACGACAGAAAACTACAAGCAGCTTTAAGTTACTGTCCCAAGAAATATTCTGGCCCAGTGTTTCTACATAACTGTTTAAAAACAAAAGGGGGTCGGGCCCTCCCTGGTGGCGCAGGGGTTGAAGCACAGCACTAAGAAGCTAAAGCCACTTCAGCATGAGTTCAATCCCCACCCCGGAAGTAACCCATATGGCACAGCAGACCTCTCCTGACCCGCCCGCTGCTCCCCTCAGCAGTGTGCTTGTCAATCTGCCTGTTCTGCTCCCCACCCTGTCTCTGGTGAATCCTCTCACCCTCCGCATCTCTGGCCTGTACCCCAGTTCTATATGAATAAAAAAAAAGGGGGGGTCAACATGTTTGTTCTTCCATTCATAACTGTGGCTGTCGTGAGGTAAAGCTGCTCTAACTGTGGTCTAGCTCTCGCCAGCAGCGCTTCAGCAGGCCCCATGTCTCCTCTCCCTCCTCAGTCTGGGTCAGAGCATCCATGATTGTTACTTTTGCGTTCAAACCAATCTGAACAACTCCCTATTTCGAACAAATTGTGTTCTGATTACATGCGGTTCTGACACGAAGCTTTACATTTTAAATTCAGTTTTGAATTAGCTTGAGTTTTGAAGAATAAAAAATGACTAATTTTGGATATGTGTGCTTCTCATTACAAATACTTAGTTTTGTGATTTCCAGATTCTATAGTCTTCAAAGATTTAGAAATTTGAGATTTTATAAGTAAGGGTATAATTTAAGGAATGTGGAAAGTAAAAAGTATGACAACTAGAAGTCATTTTAGTCTCAGCATTAAGTCGATACTTTTAATGAAGTTTTGAGATAAAGACCTATTTTAGGTTTAACTTATTATTACAGATTTAGTCACTGAACTTAAAAGGTCAAATACTAGGTGAAAGAATAATGTGCGGCCTGGTCAGGCCTAGGCTCTGTCCATGGTGAGCCTTTGTCTCCTGTCAGGACCTGGCCACAGGGCTCTGATGTCTTGCAGTGGGAAGCTGATAACGTTAGTGCAGCGAATTCAAACTCCTAATTTTCAGTGGCACGGAGTTCATATAGTAAGTGGCTTTCAGAACCACCAGAGGGCAACATATTACTAGGAAATGTTCAAGGCAACTTATTAAAGGTAAACAGCGAGGTTTAACTTACAATGAATTATCTTATCTTGAATTAGAAGCTTCCATTTGCTAATCATTATTGCATCTTTAAAGTAGTTCCTCAAACATACTCCAACACTTCACAAACCATTTCACCACCACACATAATCCATACACTGACAGCCACCTAGTATATTTTACGAAACCACATCGAAAACTGTGAGGCTGATCACAAATTACATGAAAGGACAACGTTTTATTTTAAGAACACATCACAGACCCTTTTTGAGAAGCAAGCTATGCAAAACACACCAGCATGCATATGTAATAAAATATAAATACACTAACAAGTGCCACTCCCCCATGCTTTCATGCAGTCTGAACCCATCCCATTTTCAAGTTTTACTCCTTCAAGGTCATTCTAATTAATATGATAATTTCTGTGAGATTTGAGCATTAGTTCCCAAAGAAATTCATTTTCTACAAGAAAAACCAACAGAAATCTTGTTTTAGAAAAAAGGCTATAGTTACTTTCAAGAACAAAGTATATTCTGAAAGCAAAAAAAGTAAATCTGTGTTGCTGAATTACAGACATTCCTTCTAGTAAACAGGGAACCCCCTTGTGGCTCAGATCGTCTCATGCAGGATGAAATAACTCCAACTGTGAAAAAGGTGACCTCACCAAAAATGATGTAATCTTTTTGAAAGAAAGAGAAATAACACAAGACTGTGTGTTACAATCTGAGGAACTCGAGGGGGGGGGAGTGTGAAGTCATTTTCTAAAAATAAGTTAATAATTTGGGGAGCTATATAAGGTATTTCGTATCTTCCCCTCACCCCCCCCCCAAAAAAAAAAAAACAAGGCTTTTAACAAGTGTATTCTGATCAAGGACAGCTATTGTTTTCAAGGGCCTTATTCCAATATTCCTTCCAACAAATGAAATAGCTAATTACATATAGAAAAACTAGGCTGCAGTACCAGTAAACTGGCTTAGTATTCAGACTGTTGGGACAAAGTTTAATGAGGGGAAAAAAATTGGAGTAACAAAAGAAACACTGGTTAGATAAAAGCATATCAGAGAATTAGTACTTTCTATATCATTTTCAACTCCCTTCAAGCAGAAACCCAACTCACCAACTCCAATTCCTCTTCCTCCGACTGCACTCAGCACATAAGAAGGATAAGAGAGTTACCAAGACTGTTGGTACTTGAAAATAAAATATTTCTTTAGAAAAACACTGGCAGTTGTTTGGAACTCTAATGCGCTGATGATACTAAGGAATGAATACAAACATATTGTTGTCTCTGTAACTGTAGTTGATGTCAAAAGACTAGAAAGACCTTTGAACTTTTCTAGGATCAGACTTAAAGACCACCCCCCCAACCTTGTCTGCTCACAGGGGTCACCCCTACACATAGCTGTGCTACCGTGACATTCTTAAAAGGGAGGGACAGGCTCCTCACGGTGATGTGAGTGCCTCCCGGAACCCAAGAATACCAGCTCCGCACTCTGCCTTCACCCTCCCCATCGGTCACACATGTCCACTTGTCGCCCACAAAGTCTGTGTTCCTGAGTGGTGAGAAGTCACTTTATTTTCCACACTAGCTAGTATAGTGTTATAAGAAAGCATATGTTAAAAGTAAAATAGGCTTTAAGTAACATGTTTATCATCTGCAAATGTAATTTTCATTTGAATAAAATAATTCCAGTGGAGAAGATGTGTACATATGAAGAAAACGAGACTACAGAAGATAGAACATGTTCTCTTGAACTGGAAAATATTAATGCTTAATAGTTTTTTTTTCTTTCGCAATAAGTCAAGCTTCCTTGACAACTTAGGAAAGGTGTCTTTACAAGCATCACTCACTGATGCCATAAGTCCCAATCTGAAAGCATGTTTATCTGCAAACAAGTGGTATAAAATAGGATGGAATAAATAAATCTTAAAAAAAAAAAAAAAAGGATGGAAGCTGGCTGTTTACTCTGGAAAACAATCCCTCAACCTAATTGCTCATTTAAATGTGGGTAAAATGTTCAACTGCTTTATCATAGGTTTCTTTTCATATCTCCCACTTAAGATACCCACCAAATTCTGTAAAATGCTGTGTATACTGTTGTGTGTGGTTTTTCATGTCTACCTACCAGATACAGGTATGAAAAGTTTACAGTTCTATAGAGATGTTTCAGCTTTTTTAAAAAAATCAGAGATTATCTCAACAAGTTACTGCCTGCCTAAATAGTTCGTCCTTAATCATGTTTCTGCATCCTAAGTGAATGTTCTGTAGTTTTTATTTCTGAGTGATCGTGGCAAGTATTCCACATCCAGTCCCTGAAAGATGAGCCAAGTGTTGTCCTACCTCCCTGCAGGGTAGTTGGAGTTTATTCTTCACCTATGTATGCGTGTATTTGTAGCGAAGTACTCTGAAATTATTTGAGAGCATAGTTGCAAAAAGAGCACACACCTTTCCCAGCTCCCCTCACATTAACATTCCAAGGAAAGGTGACCACTTGTCAAAAGTAATAAAATTCAAAAGGCAGGAAGTAGAGCTACAGAGCTAACTTTTTATCAGTCTTTTCATGGATGTCCTTTTTCTGATTCAGCATCATTTCACTTCGCACGCATCCTTAGTCTCCCTTGGTTTTTGACAATTCCTATCTCCTTGTTTTTCATGGCCTTGACATGGGAAGCACACTAGTCACAATGTTGTATAATGTCCTCGATTTGGGTCCGACGCTGCTTAGCAGTTAGATGGCGAGCGTGTGTTTTCGAGTGCCGCAACCCTCTTCGCAGCGCATCGCACCCACAGACATACGTCCTCCCTGGTTAGTACTGTCAAGCCTGGTCTCCTGGGTAAGGCGGTGTCTCCTCAGCTTCTCCACTAAGCACTAGTCTTCCCTCTGTTATCAACAACCACTTGGGAAGAGATATTTTGAGCTATGCAAATACCTGTTCCTCCTTTGAAACCATCTAGTTCTGAAGTAGTTTTTAAAAGTAGGACTTCAGTTTCTTTAGCAAATATTTACTAAATATTTACTATTTGGGTACACTATTCTTCAGTCCAGTAATGATTCTTTGGCAATTTTTATCTTTCAAGAAAATGTTCATATCACCTAAACAATCAAAATGTTGGACAGTACTATTTGTGATGTATTTTTTAAATGCTGTAACTCCTTTCACTCTTGATATTGATAACCTGTGCTGCTTTTTTCTTTGGTCTGCTCAGCTAGAAGCTTGTCAGTTTTATGGGTCTTTTAAAAAATACAAGCTTGGGTTTGACTGCTTTGCTTACTGTTTCCCTGTATTGAAAGTAAAAGCTTACTTTAGGGACCTTTCTTAATATTCTAAATTTTCCTCCTCAGCACTATTTCTAGCTGAAATTTTTATTTCATTAATATTTATGTTTGCATTTATAACCCAAGTTATTTAAAAGTATATCACTTGATTTCTAAATAGCTGGAGATTTTCCTGTTATCTGTTATGGATTTCACTATGGTAAGAGACTATAATCTGCATGGTTTCAATTCTTTGAGATTTGTTAAGGTGTGTTTTATGGCTTAGGGTATATTCTAGCTTGGTCACTGTCCCAAATGCCCTGAGAATAGTGTGTTTTGCTACTGTTGAGATAAGTGTTCTATAAGCTTCTTTCAGGCAAGGCTGGCTGAGTGTTGTGCAGGTCATCTACAGCCTTACTGACTGTTCTGCCTATGTGATCTATCAATTACTGAGAAAGGTGATGATTCTAACTATAATTGGATTTTTCCATCTATTCTACCTTTTAGCTCCACTAGTTTTTGTTTTATACATTTTGAAGTTCTGCTGTTAGGTGCATTGAAGAGACTTGTCCTGGAAAACAGATCACATAATGTTCTCCTTTATCCCTGGTAGTGTTCCTGTTCTGAAATTAATCCAGCTAAGTCTAGCTTTCTTTTGGTGTTTGCATGGCCATGTCTTATAGACAGCACAAGATTTTCCTTTTTAAACAACCTGACAATTTGTCTTTTCACTGATAAAGTTTATGACCACTTTACTGGTAAGGTTAGATCAAAATTTACCATCTTACTGGTCATTCTTTTAATATTTCTCCTGCTATTTTAATTCTCTTCCGTTTCTTGGACTATCACAGCATTATCACTTTATCTGCTCTGTTAGTGTGTATGTAACTTAACTGTATTGAACTAGGATTTACAACATACATTTTCAGTTAAGAGTTCACTGTCAAATACATAAGCACCTCCTGTAAAGAGTAAGGACCTACAACAAAATATTTCCAGTTCTTATCTCATCATTTGTTGCCAAGTATCTATTTTTATATGTATTGTAAACATAAAACTCTTTGTCACTATTTGCTTTAGAAAAATCAGCTTTTAGAAAAATTAAAAGGAAAAATGCCTCATATCTTGGTTTTTAAAACCAACCTCCAATAAAAGAAACCAAAGTTCCTTAAGAAATGCCTGCTTCTACTGCTGGGACAGTAGAAGCCTAGAGTATTTTATGGTGCTGGAAAATGAAAAAAGTCCCCCATCTCTTCCCATACCCCTCTAATAAGGCCAGTATGTAAAAGGCGCAGAAACACACTAAGTAGATAAAGGTGGACAATGTGAACAAATAGTGTCTTCCTCTGCACCATGTAATAACCAAACTAGTAGTAGCATTACCCTACATATAAAATTAATGTCCATGAGACCATGTTAATATATATAGACAAATTCAACAAATTAGAGAAATAGTTGCAAGTATAAAATAATTCCAAGTAATTTGTGTAGACACGCCACACTCAAGGTGGACTACCAGCATCCCTCAAGTGTGGGGCTCACCTATGAGTGCCTTCCTTCCAAAGAGGACAGCACAGGAAGGGAGGGAAAAAAAGAGTACAGTAGAGACACGCATGAAATGTGCCATCGGCAAGGTGACCTGGCTACCATCACTATGAACATTACTATGTGACCTTGATAAGTGATGAAAATGGCACTTTAATTATGTGACCTTCCCTGCGAATCAACAGCCTCAGTCCCATCAGAAAATTTCCAAGCTAAGAACAGTCTACAAAATACCTGACCAGTTCTTACAATTGTCAAGGGAATTAAAGTAAGCAGTCTTAGAAACTAGCACAGCCACAAGGAACTGAAGGAGACATGAACAATGGTGCGTGTTATGGATGGGATCCTAAAGAGAAAGACATGAGGTTAAAAACTAAGGATATATAAATGCAAGTATGGAGTGAGTTATTAATAATGTAACCAATAATCAATACTGTGGACTAATTTTAATAAATGTACTATGATAATGTCACATGCTAATAGTAGGCAAAACTAGGTGTGGAGAATATAGGAGGTTTGTACTATGTTCCAATCTGTGTAGATTTAAATTATTCTAAAATAAGTTTATAAACTGTAGAGGGAAGTGAATTTTATCTTCAATTATTGCACTTCCATTGTTATTTCTTTGTGCAGGTCCAGGTTTTGGCTAGAATCCTGTTCCTTCTGCTAAGTAATTTCCTTCAACATTTCTTTTAGAGTAGGTCTGTTGGCAATCATTTCCCACCATCTTTGTTCAAGAAAGTACTTTACTTTCATTTCTCTTCCATTTTTGAAGGTATTGTTGCTGTGTGCAGAACTCTAGAAGTTTCCACCGCCCCCACCTACTTCAGTACTTTCACTATACTATGTTACTTCACTGGTTTGCAGCTTGCACAGTAAGAGAATTAAGGTCTTATCTATGCTCTCTCCCCCCTCATCTGCCTATTCTTAAGATTTTTCACTGACTTTTGGTTTTAGCAGTCTGAATATGTGGTGGTGGTGGCAGTGGTGGTGGTAGCGGCAACAGCAGTGACATTTACACTATCTCGGGCCAGTTACTATTTCGTCAAAAACTTCTGCTTTCTCTTTTTGGAATTCTAATTACAAATATATCATATTAAACCATCTGATAAAGTCCCAGAGCTCTCAGGGCTTTGTTCCACCTTTTGTTTTGCTTTCATTCTTCTTTCTCTTTGTATTTCAGTTCAGGTAATTTCTATTGACTTACTGATTGTATATCTATCTTTCCTCCTGCTAAGTCTTAAGTGCAGGGTTTTAGTCAATTTACTTAGGAGCTAGGGTGGGGGTGAACTTCACTGTTGGTGCATCTACTACTGGCTTCAAATTCCTCTGACGTTAGCAGGGTGGTTTGCCTTGGCTTTTTAAATTTTTTTCTCAGTGACTGTTCAGTCTCAGTTTAACCCTATTACTCTGCATTTTGCTTCAGGCAGCGACCCTCTTGGTCACCCTGCCTGGCTTCTAGCACATTCCTAATGACCACCAAGGGCTGATATAGTTTTCCTTTCCATTTCCTCACATATGACAGCATTCACCAGGGCCCTAAGGGTCATATCGTTTTTATTTCCTCACAAATTAAGGTAGATTTATTTTTGCTCCATAGAAGAGAAATGACACAAAGACCCCATATTTTTGTGGCCCCACTGCAGTAGCTGCTCACCCCTCTTCCAGTTATGAAATACAGGGAACTTCAGCTATCCTCCGTCTTTTCTGTAAATACCCAGTGGCTTTCATGGAGGAAAAGCCCACAAGAGATCTCAGATTCTCCTGTCACAGCATTAGGGGTTTTACTGCCAATGTCCCACTGGCCTCACCAGTCACCATTCATCCCGGCGGAACTATTATTAACTACTGAGCCAGGGCTCATACGTCATCTCCCTACAGCATCTCTCCCCCTAGAGTCTGGCAGGTTGGTTGCCCTCAAATCTCAGCAATACAGTGAGTTCAGGCTATTAATTTGCCATGTGTCCAACTCATTCTAAGATTGGGAGCAACACAATTTCCAGCTTTTTGTATCTCTGAGTGAGATTAGTTTGCTTTTTGAACCCAAGAATTATGGTCCTAACTCTCTTTTGTACTACCCTAGACAAGTAATAACTTCTCAGTTTCCTCAACGCTACCATGTGAAGATCACAGTCTACTGAGACAACGCATATCAAGATATTTGGGGATCTATAAAGCATTAGGTACAAATGTAGAATTATCTAGAGTCTGATACCATCACTTTCACTTAGCAATAAAAACAGTGAATTTAACAGCTGCACAGTCCAAAGAGCACCTGACACATCACTGAGCATGTTAATAGCCAACAGTTGCTAAACTAAGAGTAGCTTTATACCTGCATAAATATTTTAAGTTTTCCCTTACAACTTGCTGAGAGGAAAAAGCGTACTTTCCTCTTCTTCAAAAACAGACTTAGGATTTAAAAGCAAATTAGCTGTAACTAAAAATATAGTCAAGGCTTAGGGGAGATGAACCTGTCTTCTTTACAAAGTTACAGAGGAGGATTATTAACTTTATATATTTAAATAGGAAGAGAAAATAAAAGAAAAATTATCTGCGGAATAACTCATTCAAGTATTATGCATTCATCCCTATTTAACAATTGTTCTCTTTGATATGTAGAATTTTCTAAAATAATTTAGTATTAAAGTTATGCAAAATACACAGGAAAAAAATAAGTGAGCTATAATTTATCAATCTGGGCACGAAATCTTGAAGCAAAGATTCTAGTCTGGTAAAATCTAAATTAAGTATAATAACCTCTCAATAATTTTAAGTAATTGTTAAGCAGACATGTTTCTTATTTTCCCAAAATTTGGTTTCAGTGTGTTTAAAAAACTAGCCTATTGAAATGCCTATTGAAAATAGAACTATTCATGAAAAAAAAGTCTAAATTCTATGAGGTAGAAAACATTCCAAAGGAAAAGATAGACTACATACAAAAACACTAGTTTTAAATAATGAAGTCAAAGAAAAGTTCAATGTACCAGTGGCGGCATCATGCCCTTGCTGGAAGGGGGGATGACAACTCGAAGATCTGGTTTTCTATTGTTCATTCCAAGACTGCCACCACCTGGAGGAGGGGGAGATTTTGTAGGCATAACTTTGCCTAGACTATTTGCACCTGTAGTTCCAATTAAATTTGGAGAAGCTCTTGAATTTACAAATCCATTTCCTGGAAAAAAGAAATATCATTCATTAACATGAAAAGAGTCATTAAAATACTTTGGCACAAATGTAAAGCAAGTTTTCCGTAGCCCTAGTTACATACGTGCTTTATAACAGAAAGAACAGCCAACCATGTACCTCTGGGCTGCTTAAAAATAAGCAAGGAAAGTCTGACATACAGATAAAGCTTAAAACTAATGCCACTTGTTTTCCAGTTTTACTGCTTGGACCTGCTGGAGACATTTAAATTCTGTTTCTAAAGGTGGTCTCCTACTGGGTACCAAAACAATGGAAATACAGGAAAGCACCTGAGACCATTCCTTAGGTCAGCAAAGGTGCTCCTACAGGGCTCTGGGCACTGAACGGACTACGAGGGCACCTCCTTCACTCGTGTTTTTAGCACTGAGCTTTAATGCCTCATTTTACCAAATATTTCTTCCTTATGGCTCTTAAATCTGTTCCTTTTCTTCAGATGCCACCAAGATTATTAATCATCTTATTCTTGTGTTTTAACATCCCCTAGCAGAACTCTCTTAGCAGAAATAAGGCTATATTGCAGCATATGTTCTATATACACACAATTTTGGGCACTGGTTGAGATCGAAAGCAAACGAGACCATCCCCCACAGATCCTCTGGCCCTCCTCCAGTGTAGCAGCCACCCTTTTTGGGTGGGCTCAATCACTAATTTGCTGAAGGCATCTGACACAGATCCAGGCCAGTGAGGGTGCAGTGCCCCATTCTCTCCCCACGATGAGAGCTCCAAGAAAGGTGGGTCACAAGCTGGGTGAAGAAGTGGCTATATGGTGGTGAAGGGAGCTACCACATTCTTCCAAATAAAACTGAGGAATTCTTGAGTCTTTAGAGCGACGTAGAACTACAAATTAATGAAGGAAAAGCCCTTCATGACTGTAGACAGTACTATTTCTGGAGTTTTTTTGCAGTTATATAAGTCAGTAACTTTTTGACCCATTTTTATTCCATTTAAGCTCAACTGAAGTGGTTTTCTGCACAATGATGAGCAGAAAAACCTACTGTCCACCAGTTTACAGTTCACAAATTAAAAGATAGAACATAAAGTGTCATTTATAAAATAGAAATTACACATGCTATTTTAATTTCAACGTAAAGCAAAGGAATAAAAGGCATTAACTATATATTTTTAAATGAATATTTAATTACTAAGACAGTGTCAACCACCCAAAAAAATTAAGAAATATACCATGGGCCAATCAAAATTTTTACTAAACATCAGTTGTATAATCAAAACAAAACCTAAGTTTACCATGTGTAAAGTGTGCTTTTAGCAATAAATGGAGATTTAATGCCATAAATGCTTGTAATATTAATGTAGTTTGAATGGTCCCTATTATTTGAGTCTACTGTAGTATCCAGGTGTTAACTTAAAAACACTGGATAAAATAACAAATTTGGAACGTAACAATTCTATTTAGGTTCAAAAGCTTAAGTATAAGATCAAGAACAAACTATTCAGAATTATGAACTAGAAGTTCCTAGAGTGCTAAAGAGCCTCTGAATTCTCTGGGACTCAGAAATCATTCATCAGTAGCAACCACCATATAAAATCAGACAACAATATGAAACTACCTTTATAACTTGGAAATAAATTTTAAACATCTATTATATATTAAGTACTATGTAGTGGAGAGAATAAAGGAAGGAAAGGGGGGAAAAAATCATGAAAACCAACAAAACTTTCAAATAGCTTTTCATCTAGTTAGCCAGACCAGGTGTACATCACAGATAAGTGAATGTGACAACATAATACTTAAGATATGGGCAACAGCAAAACAGCTAAGGGTTAATAATTTATAAATAAGTAGAAAGTGAAACAATGGATACATGCATGTGAGTTTAATGAGGGGAGATTTTGTGGAGCTAAATACTGAGCAGATATGACAGAAAACACATTATACATAAATATAAGAAAAAATTGAAATGGTAGTGCATCAACAAACAGGGTGTGAGTAAGAGATGGCAGGACAGATCAGCATGGGAGTACGTGGATAGAATCCATCAGAAGGAAAGTTAGCTGGTTGCTTTGCTCCTTCTGGTATAAAAGAAAAAAGGGAACTTTAGAATCTATCAAAACTTGGGAACAGATATCACAAATACACATACATACATCTATATAGACGTACATGCAAGGGCAAATCAAAACTGCCTATCTGCTGTGTGTTAAACACTGAATTAAATCATCCCGTAATCTCACTCTGAGAAGACTATCCTAGGAAGATTTGTCCCACAGTACTGCAGTTAATGATTATACATTGCATATATTTTTTCACTTTAAGAACATGTGTATTAGATCATTTTAATTTACTCTAAAATAATTTTAATTTTTTTAAAGATTTATTTATTTATTCATACAGAACTGGGGTACAGGCCAGAGATGCGGTGGGTGAGAGGATTCACCAGA